GTAACTTGCAAATCTATCCATAATCAGATGTTTACACAATTTATTGAACCATTATCCAAGTGATTCAAGTATTGTCTATTGCATCATTCCATTTATGGCACAAAGGAACCATTGTCATTCACATCAAGCATGCTTTATTCAAAGTCAGCTCTCCTTGAGCCTCTCAATTATTTTTTCTACACACACAATATCAAAGCAAGAAGCAACATGCCTAAAAACTCATAGCCATTTCAGATCCCTTTTGTACCATGCACTGGGACATCAAATTTCACATAACTTGGTTGTTTCATCTCAACCAAACCAGAATTTGGACAACTTGTAAAATAAACTCTCTCATCCTATCAAACCTCTTCTATAAATAGAGAGGCCATTTGCAAGCTAAAGAAAGAAGTTTTTATTGTGTAGACAAGTTTTCTCAAAACCCCTCATACTCTAAAAAAACCATAACTGTCCATAAAACCTCCACTCTTGAGCTTAGAAACCAAAATCTTCAAATCTCTCAAACCTTGCATTTCTGTCCAAACAAATCATCCACACACTTCATATACATCATATAGAAGTTGTTCAAACACAAGAACAACTTCTGTAACATCATTATCATCATCGTCCAAACTCAAAAACATTGTCTTTCAAGTTGACTTGGTTGGAGAGGCTCAAACACTTTCAGCATAAAGTAAGGATTGAAACAACTTCAGAGAGGTCTAAGGAAGCTCAATCAATCATCACATTTCACCTAGAAACATCCATACACATTTTGGATTTTTCACTTCAAGAGGTAAGTTTTCTCAAACTGTGATATCCTTGTTCATACATCATTTTACACTACAAGAAAATTAGTGTTTAACGACACAAAAATTGCGACAGTTATGTGATAACTGTCGTAATTGACAAATAGAGACAGTGTTTACGACAGTTGACACCAACCGTCCCTAATATTTATTTTGCGACGGTATATTTAACCATCATAATATTATTATTACGACGGTAAAACAACCGTCGGCCCCCATTTAACACTTTTAACATTGATTTTTCACCAACAACTAGTCACGACGGTAAAATTAACCGTCCTAAAAGGCATATCACGACGGTAAAGCACCCGTCGCACCCTTAAACCTTTCACGACGGTAAAATTATCCGTCCTAAAATTCATTTCACGACGGTAAAACAACCGTCGCACCCAAAACCTTTAAAAAAGTTTAAAATTAAAATATAATTTATTCTGATACAAAATTGTGATTGATCGATAGTATAAAATTAATTTACACAATCAGGGCAACACTATTTTTTCTGATTTTATAAAATATTTTAAAATGTTAAGGACAATGCTTTGTATCCTGTTTTATTTCTTGATTATCTTAAGGATTTTTTAGAATTCCCAGCAAAATGATTATTTAGCCTAGAAATAATATGAAAGACAATGGAGGTATTAGAGGGGGAAATGATATAATAAAGTGGCAGAATCAGGGGAAACGGTTATTCTCATTCGAAAATCAACCAAACCCGGAGGAGTGATGAGAAGAATCTCCTGTCTGCTACTGAAACAACCTTCTCCTTCAATCACACACATCCACTTCTCCTTTCCCCCGCACCACCACAATGCCAATTCATTCTCCCGCTCCTTCAAAACCCTACCTCTCCCTCCCCCAGAACTCGTCGAACCTTTCTGCGACCTCTCCGACGTCATCTCCTCCAAGCAAAACCTCCAGCCCTCTCCATGGTTCACACAAATCCTCAACCTCCTCGACAATTCCCCAACCATGGAATCAAATCTCGACTCCTTCTGCCGCCAATTTCTCATCACTCTCTCCCCCTCCTTCGTCGCCCACGCTCTCCGTTCCCTCAACAACCACCACACCGCCCTCCGTTTCTTCACCTGGGCTTCCCACCAACGTAACTACTCACATTCCCTCGATTGCTACGTTTCACTAATCAACCTACTCCTATCCCCCTCAACCACCACCACCTCCGCCGCATTAAATGTTTTTGCAGAACTTCAACGTAGCCGCCTCCCCTTAACATCCCCATCCGCCAACTCCCTCATCAAAAGCTTCGGTAACGCCGGCCTGGTCAATGAACTTCTATTAGTTTGGCGTGGAATGAACGAACAAAACATCCACCCGACTCTTTTCACTTACAACTCCCTTCTTAACGGACTCGTTGGTTCCTCTTTTATCGAATCGGCCGAGCGTGTTTTTGTCGCCATGAAAGAAGGAAGAATAAAGCCTGATGTTGTAACCTACAATACTTTGATCAAAGGGTATTGTAAGATTGGGAAAACACGAAAGGCGACCGAGATGGTTCGCGAAATGGAGGTAATTAATTTGGAGCCTGATGTTGTTACTTATATGACAATAATGCAGGCTTGTTATTCTGAAGGGGATGTTGATTGTTGTTTGAGTCTTTACCATGAGATGGAGGATAAGGGATTTCAAGTTCCTTCTCATTGTTATACTTTGCTCATATGCGGGCTTTGTAAGACGGGGAAGGTTTTAGAAGCTTATGCTTTGTTTGAGAATATGCTTAGAAATGGTTGTAAGGGTAATAAGGCTGTTTACACTGCTTTGATTGATTGTTATGGGAAGAGTGGGAATTCTGATGGGGCTTTAAGGTTGTTTGAGAGGATGAAAATGGATGGGATTGAGCCTGATGAGGTTACTTATGGTGCTATTGTTAATGGGTTATGTAAGAGTGGGAGACTAGAGGAAGCTTTGGGTTATTTTCGGTTTTGTAATGAGAATGCTGTTGTTGTCAATGCTGTTTTTTATTCTAGTTTGATTGATGGACTTGGAAAGGCGGGAAGGGTGGATGAAGCTGAGAAGGTGTTTGATGAAATGGCTGAGAAGGGGTGTCTGCCGGATTCATATTGCTACAATGCGCTCATCGATGGACTTTGTAAGTGTGGGAGGATAGCCGATGCTTTAGTGCTGTTTAAGAGGATGGAGTGTGATGGTTGTGAGCATACTGTGTATACGTTTACTATACTTATCAGTGAGCTTTTCAGGGTGCATAGGAATGAAGAAGCCGTCAAGATGTGGGATTTGATGATTGACAAAGGGATAACGCCGAACGTTGCTTGTTTTAGGGCTCTTTCAATTGGAATGTGTCTTTCAGGAAAAGTTGCGAGGGCTTGTAAAGTGCTGGACGAGCTTGCACCTATGGGGGTTGTTCTTGAAACAGCTTATGAAGATATGATTGGAGCGCTGTGTAAAGCTGGTCGTGTGAAGGAGGCTTGTAAGTTGGCTGATGGAATTGTGGATAGGGGTAGAGAAATACCTGGGAAGATTAGAACTGTGATGATTCATTCCTTAAGAAAAGCTGGGAATGCTGATTTGGCTATCAAGTTGATGCATAGCAAGATTGGTATTGGATATGATCGAATGCGGAGCGTTAAAAAGAGAGTCAAGTTTCAAACCCTTGTTGACAACTGAGATATTTCAGGTGGATATCATGTGGCATTTGGAAACTGGTAAAGGCCAAAGCCAGTTTTAGTTCGAATGTGATGGGAATAGTTAGCTTTAAGGTGTAGTATTTACCCCAAAAGTCAATTTATTTATAAACTGGATAAGAATAGAAGTAATAATAAGTTCTAGTTGCTTGGACTCAAACCATTGCTGCTGGCCTTATCAAAATACAGAGAAATAGTAAAACCACGATGCACTAGTGGGAATCACGAGTTCTCAAATGTTGTACAATTATTATTATAAACTAAACATAGTATGCAGGGACCGGGACCTGATTGATTATGTACTGCATCTCAAACATAGGAGCCGTGAAAATGTTGATATATTTGGACTAGAATAGGTCAGTATGTCTTTCTTACTAGTTCCCATGTGATGCAGGGGAATAAAATTCCCTAATTGAATTTGAATGAAATGGTTGTGGTTTTAATTTTAACTTGAAGAGTTCATATATTTACTTTTAAATTCACCTGGAATGACTGTGTTCTTAGCTATACCTTTTAAGTTATACCTTTTTTTTTATCATATAACACATTGTGTTTGTAATATTTGTTCTTTTAAAGTTGTCATAAATGAGCTTCTGTGCCTGTATGAATTAACCAAATGTTCTTAATGACCTTGTTTTTTTGGATAGAAAAATCAGTCTTATCGGTGGATGCTTTAGAGAAAATGATGGAGGACCCAACAGTGCAGAAGATGGTTTATCCGTAATATTAGCTCCTTTTATCTTTTAATAATGATTATTTTTCATTTTTAGTGAGCACAGATAAGTTTTAGGATAAATGCCAGTCCTAGAGGAATTAGGATAACAGAACCTAACATTTGGAATTAGGATAAATGCCAGTCCTGGAGGAAATTAAATGACCATTCTTCTGCTTTTGTACAATAACCTTTTGTTTGAGTTTACTTATGACTGGATTCATGGTCACTACGTTGATTTTAGACCTAAAGTTGCACAGAAATGTAAATCTTATTTGTTATTTCTCACTAAAGTGTCATTCTATGTGCCGCAGTTATATAAATCTTATTTGTTATTTCTTACTTTGAAGTCTGCCCCTGTCAACCTAGATAATCCTCTTGTTGCATTAGAGTTATCATATGTTATGTTATACTACAGATGATGATTTACTAAGTAATTTCTTTTTCTAACTATTGCAGGAGTATCCTGATTACGTACCATACATCACTCCGATGTTCTTTTGTGATGATTGGCTCAACTTGTATCTCGATAACTTTAGAATGAATACTTATTCCGACAAAGACCAGCAAATAAGCATCCTCTTCTTTCACCCGTACTTGGTGGTAACCTGATTTCATATCAAGTTTTGTAAAGTACTCAGCTCCATGTAACTCGTCAAGTAAGTCATCTATCACTGGAATGGTGAATTTGTCGGGCACGATTACCTTGTTGAGGTCACGGTAATCCCAACATATCCTCCATGTTCCATCTTTTTTCTTCACTAAGATCACCGGATTAGAGAAAGTGCTACAACTTTGACGAATGATTCTGTTAGGAACCATATGAATGAAGATTGACCAGAGATGGAAGTAACAAACCATAATGAGCCTGGTGGATCCAAGACTTGGTAGGTTTACACTAGAAGAGGAAAGAGAGCATCACATGCCCCGTGATAGGCCTTGAGGTGGCAGGTGGAGAGAGAATTGGTCATAACCAATTCTGTTAGGTTGTATGCTTAAATGATTAGGGAAAGGTTCTAGTCTAGAAAGACACTTTTGAGAATTATTGTGTAATCATTGAATGGAGAGTTGTTAGCTCTCCATAGGAGCCTTGCTATATGGCAAAGAGATTCTCAAATCTTCTGTAAATTCCCTCAATCAATACTAAACAACATTATCATATCGTTCATTTTACTATATTTCTCTGAGATCCAACAGATTCCTGCTTCTAGCATCTCTTGGACTTGTCTTTCAATCTCAGTTTTTTTATGATATGGATACTACCTATAAGGCTTGACACTCACTGGCCCTTGCTCTGGTAATAAAGTCATGTCATGGTCTCTGGAGCGTTGAAGACCTTTGGGTTCACAAAATGCATCTTAAAAGTGTTGTAGCACACACGTGTTCTTTGACTCTGTTCTTGTCTTAATATTGTTCAAAACAACTCTCAAAGTCCACCATTTGTCTCCATAATCTTTACTTGCTCTCCTTACGACACTTTGCAACGCTGAAAATGCTTCTTGGGTACCTTCAATTCCTCTCAACATCACCCATTACCTTCGCCGCCAGACTGGTGTCCTGCACACGAAAAAGACCTCAGCACGAGAAATCCATCCCGCCGGTGAATGCCGGTAAATCCATCCCGCCGGATCATCGCCGGTGAATGCCGGTAAATCCATCCCGCCGGATCATCGCCGGTGAATGCCGGTAAATCCACTCTCTTGACAAATTGTCTGAACTTGTCCCGAGCATCTCCCTGCAACGGTTTTATATCCGTTGCTACAGAGATCAGAGATTTCTTTGTTTGGCTCTGTAACCGTTTCATCCTTCCTTGCTGACGAAGACTCTCCCAGCGTCTCCGTCATATTCTTACCCAATCATCTGCATTAGAGCCTTCTGATTCTCCATTGCTGTGTTCTACACCTTTGCGATTGGATCAGCAAACATGATTGTATTCTGTAGGTCGGACCAATGTTAGGTCCCTGAGTATTGAATAACAACAACAAACCTATAATTGAGAAAAGAAACAATTGATAAAGGTTGTTTATTATCAAAGTAGGGATTTACAGTAGATTGAGAATCACATTGCCATTGAGCTATGCTCCTAGGGAGATGCTAAAAGCACTCCATCATATTACAACTTGAATATTCTCAAAGATGATCCTCTAGATCCTCTCTCGACTACTCATAGCCGAACAGAATTGGTTAGAACCAATTCTCTCACCCAATGCCCACTCACCACTCAACACGTGTCATTAAGCACCTTCTTTCGTTTTCTAGTGTAAACCTGCCAAGTCTTTGATCCACTGGCCCCACTTGATTAGTTTCCTCTACCTCAAGCCCATTAGCTAGAACCGGGTTTCTAACAATTCTTCAATGCCCGTGTCGTTTCCATTGGTACTATTTGCTTCGAGAGTAGCATTCAATTATATGAGCAATAGTTCTTACCCAGCTCATAGGTTCATTGGCTGTTTACTAGGTTTTGTTTAGTTATTTATGAATGTACTGCTGAACAATTTAATGCAAGTGTTTTTTATGTTGCGGATTTATTGTAAGCAACTGGGTTTAACTAAATCTAGAAGCTTCTCGTGTTTTTTGTTATGTTGTGTAGCACTAACTAATATTATGTGTACTTGGACTTGCAGGTTTAGAAAGAGATATAATTTCTTATATGAAAAGGATCTTCCTGCTGAAAGACAGGTAGATTTGCAGATTGTAACCGCAGGAATTTCTCTATAACTTATTTTATGACCTCCGTCCCTTGATATCTTATGGTTGTAACAGGCTCTTAAAAGGGAAATGCAAAAAGAAAAAGATCCTGAGCGGAAAAGTGAAATAGAAGAACGCATATCATGGGTTGTAAGTATATGTCTGTTGGAAGTTTTGCTTCACTGTCCAAAAGTGTGACATTCATTAATTTACTTGATCACATTTGCATGTCTTTTCAGGATAAACAGTTGAAATCTGAGTCAACAAAAAATGTTGAGACAAGTATTTTAGCTAAACACAAGAAGAAAGAAAGAGAAGCAGCAAAGCAGGGAAAACGTCCTTTCTATCTCAAGAAATGTAATCTTTCTCTTCTTTCCATTTGTTAGAAACACGGTCCATGCTTATGTTAATTTTATCATCTTTATCTGAACTCTAAAAAGAAGTTCTTTGCCGAACCCAAGACATATTCAATACGTGGAGTCAATATTGCAAGAATAGAATCACTTATATAACCACTGATTAACTTCAATTGAATTATTTGATTTCCCTTTTCATTTGTAGCACACTGGTGATACTAGTGACAATATGAAAACATATCAAACAAATGAGTTTAAATAAAATGAAATACCAACTATATATAATGATATATTGTTTTGTTTTTCAGCTGAAATCCGAAAACAAAGTCTTATTGAAAAATATGAGGATCTCAAGGTATGCATTTTATAACATCTCTGTCTTCTTTCATCTTGTTTTCATTGTATAATGTCATTTATTGCTTGTCTTTTCCATTAATTCTATCTTATTCACCATTTTCAGGTGTCTGGAAAACTTGAATCATATATTGAGAAAAAGAGGAAGAGGAACGCTGCAAAGGACCATAGACTCATGCCATATCGTAGATCTGGTGACAACGAAGAGTAAGGTTGTTAACCTTGTACTGGAATCTAGCACCCAAAAAATAGTTATATACATTCTGTATACTATCTTTAGGTTTTGACGACGATCCCTTGTTGAATACCCCCAAATTCTGGTTTTAACGATAATTATGTAGTGTTGTATGTTCTGCAAGATTTACTAACAACCACATTTTTGGGGCTAAGGTAAGATTCTTTTCTTTTTGAAAATGGGGCGGAGATTTTACAATTTTATAGGTCCCTTGTTTTTGTAATTCTTTCATGATGGATATGCTTTAATTTAATAGACTATTTTTATAATTATGAATAATTTATAATGTTTGTCTGAATATAAAATTGGTTTTCAAGGGTTTTATGATCATGGAGATTATATTTATATTATTGAATACATGTTCTGAGTCTTCATAAGGCAATGCTCTTTTTTAGGCTCTAAAAGTAGTTGTGTCCCATGTTTTTCAAAATGTCCTACACATGATCACATCCCCTAAACCCTTAACATACACATTACACCTCAACATACAAGACATCTGACACTAATGATGTTTTAAGATTTTTGCTTTGATTAAAAAAATAGACTAAACATGTTTTTATTCCTTTAAATATATCAATTTTATTTATTAATTCATGTATAACTTTTAACTAAAGACAAATTATTAAATCACATATTAAATAGTTGAATTATTATGTTAATAATATTCTAAAGTTTTAAAAATATAATTCTTCCGTCCTAAAATAAGTGTCGTATTTGTAAAATAAATTGTCCCATAATAAGTGTTTTCAGTTTTCAATATAATTTTAGTGTTTATCTTCTAATTATATCTTCTAATTAATATTTTTAATTTATTACTTCTCTCACCTTGTATAAATGATAATTTGAATATACCAATAATTAACTAAGATAGTTTGATAAAATTGTTATTATTTTTCTTTTATTTATTCATATTTTTTTTAATTTATGTGAAAGTGTTAAATATGACAAATATTTTAGGACGGAAGGAGTATATTTTTAAAAAATCACTTGGAACTTTTGTAAAAAAACAAAAACTAAATTTTGTATGAAAAATTTATCAAATTAAAGTACAAAGGAGTTTTTTAGAAATTAGAAAAAAAAAAGTTGATATAATTAGAAGGATTTAAAATACATTTACCCCTAAAATATTATATAAAACTGTTAAAAAATCTTTGCACTCCATTATGTAAGAGGGAGGAAAATCTCACCTTTCTCTACACCAATTGTATTTTTACCCCATCATAACTAAAAAAATGTTACTTTCATCTCTCATGTGATTTAACTTATTATACTTTTACTTTTATCCTCATTTTCAACCTGTTCAATTTTGACAAAAATTCACCCCATAAATTTTGGGGAATGCTCTCTCCACCCTGACATAGTGCATTTTATATTCTTGAAAATTTGAAAATACCTTACAAGTGTCTGGAGCTGTATATTTAGACGCATTTAAAATGAAACCAGAATACGCTATTATGAGATCTGTCACACTTTAAACAAAATATGATTCAAAAATGTATTTTCGAATATTATTTGAGTGTATCCGAAGATGCATCTTAAAAATATTTTTTTGAATAATTTCAGGACAACACCATTGGCCCAACATTGTAATTTTTGAGGTCAAATTATATTAAAGTAAACTCAAATAATATTAAAGTGAATTTTTTGAGATCAAATTATATTAAAGTAAACTCAAATAATATTGAAGTGAAATAAAAGATAAAAGTCATATATTAATTAAAGTATATAAAAAGTTAAGACCATACATAATATTTGTTTAAAAATATAAAAAAAAATACATCCAAACATAAACTATTGTGTATGTTGAAACCTCTACCTGTAGTGTATGATGTTTTGTAACTCGACAATCATGTCCTCCACGAGGACCAATTGTAGACTGTCATCCACAAAAACCATGCCTCTATGCTTGTTTTATCCATCTCCACAACATGTTGGCCGACCACTGACACGTCTTCAGTGTGGCCATCTTTAGCCTCAAGTTCTTCATGATTAGTTGGGCTCGGTAGTTTTTCAAGAGCGTATAATGTCATGATTAGGGATGACAATGGATACTCATAGGTACGAGTACTAGTCTCACACTATCTGTCCCGTTTAGTAAATATGATATCTGTATCCGTCTCATACCCGTGCGGGTATCTGTTAGATGGATATTCGTGAATTTTAAGATACCCGTGTGTATTTACGGATATCAATAGATACTATTATTTAAATATATTTAAAAAAAATATTTAAATAACTAATTTTTTAATCTATTTTAAAGATAATTTGTTTTTCAAATTTAACACATAATAAATAATAACAAAAATAAGTCACATTCATTTTATTTCTTCTTTTATCAAAATAATAATAATAATAATAATATTTTAACAAAATAATATAATTATAATAATAATAGTAATATTAATAATAATTTTTTATTAAATAAATTAGTATTTAAGTATTTTTATTAATTATTAACAGATACAGATACCCGCGAGTACGGGTACCATCAAATCCATATCCATACCCGTAAGTAAACGAGTAATCAAATATTCGTTTGTTTTACCTGTGGATACCTATTAAACCATCATACTCGTGTCCGTGACAAGTTTTACCCACGGATATCCACGGGTACGTTTTTTTTGCCATCCCTAGTTATGATAGGGTGTGACACCCTCATTCAACCATCAAGCATACTCCTTTCATTATGGTATATGGAACTGAGATCATTCTACTTGTCGAAATCGACACACCTTTTGGGGGCGCTCTCATTTTGATGCGAAAGAAAACGAGGTAGGGCTAAGATGTGTCACTGGCCTAATGGATGAAACAAGAAAGGTTGACCACATCCAAAATTTTTGTCAAGAAAAAACCGGCCATAAGGTACAACTCAAAAGTGGTTAGGAAATGCATGAATGCGACCTAATGCTAAGACATGTTATCAATCTTGTCCAATAGGAGAAACTACAATCGAACTGGGAAGAACCATATCACATATATCAAAAGCTTTTTCACGGATCCTACAAACTTGAGGAGCTAGATGGACGACTCATTCCTAGAATTTGGAATTCAATTATTCTAAGATAATACTATAGTTAATTTTTTTCCAGTTGTTAAAAATGCGGTATGCATGCCAATGTATGAATTTCTTTGAAAAACCTTTATTATTATTATTATTATTATTATTATTATTATTATTATTATTATTATTATTATTATTATTATTATTATTATTATTATTATTATTATTATTATTATTATTATTATTATTATTATTATTATTATTATTATTATTATTATTATTATTATTATTATTATTATTATTATTATTATTATTATTATTATTATTATTATTATTATTATTATTATTATTATTATTATTATTATTATTATTATTATTATTATTATTATTATTATTATTATTATTATTATTATTATTATTATTATTATTATTATTATTATTATTATTATTATTATTATTATTATTATTATTATTATTATTATTATTATTATTATTATTATTATTATTATTATTATTATTATTATTATTATTATTATTATTATTATTATTATTATTATTATTATTATTATTATTATTATTATTATTATTTATAATAAGTTATTTTGTTCTATTGTCGACTTAAATGTTGGACTTTTACAAGAAGATTCTTGACGCTCTAAAAAAGAAATATAAATGTTAGACTTCCACAGGAAGATCATTATCGCTCTAAAAAAACAATATAAATTATGAACTTCCATTGAAAGATCCTTAACGCCCTTAAGGTGCAATAAGAGTGCTGGATTTTTCAAAAAAGATCCTTGCCATCCGCAAGAGAAATAAAATGCTAAATTTCCATGGGACTTTTCCTGCATATACCATTCGACTTAAAGATCTCCTAAAGAACTCGACTTAAAGTCTCGCATGAGGGACTCGACTTAAAGCCTCGCATGAGAAACTTGACTTACAGTCTCGCCTGAGGGATTCAATTTAAGTTCTAGCCTAAGGAACTCATCTTGAAGGACTCGACTTAAGGTCTCGCTTGAGGGGCTTAAATTAATGTCTCGCCTGAGGGATTCGATTTAAATTCTACCATAAGGAACTCTTCTTGAGGGACTCAACTTAAAGTCTTGTTCGATGGACTCAAATTAAAATCTCGCCCAAGAAACTCGACTTAAAGTATCTCCTAAGGGATTCGACTAAAAGTTCCACCTGAGGGACTCAACTTAAATTATTGCTTGAGAGACTTGTTTTAAAGTCTTGCATGAGGGACTTTAAATTGCCTAAGGGAATCAATTTAAATTATCTCATGAAGAACTCAACTTAAAGTCTCGCCCGAGAGACTCAATTTAAAGTCCCGTCTCAGGGACTTGATTTAAAGTCTCGCATAAGGAACTCGACTTAAATTCTCGACTGAGAGACTCCACTTAAAGTATCACCTGAGGGGATCGACTTAATGCCTCACTAGAGGGACTCAACATAAAATCTCATCCGAAGGACTCAAATTAAATTTTCACCTGAGAGAATCGACTTAAAGTCTCGCCTGAAGGACTTGACTTAAATTCTCTCTTGAGGGACTTGACTTAAAGTCTCGAATGAGAGGGACTTGACTTAAAGTCTTACATGAGGGACTCGACAAAAAGTCACTCATGAGGGACTCAACATAAAGTCTCTCATGAGGGACTCGATTTAAGTTTTACCTTAGGAACTCGACTTAAAGTCTTGCCTAAGGGACTCGATTTGAAATCTCTTATAAGGGAATCGACTTAAAGTCTCACCTGAGGGAATCAACTTAAAATATCTCCTGAGAGATTCAATTTAAAGGCTCATCTGAGAGAATCGACTTAAAATCTCGCATGAGAGACTCGATTTAAAGTCTTTTCTGCGAGACCCAAATTAAAGTATCTCCCGAGATACTCGACTTAAAGTAATGCTTGAGGAACTATACAACAACCTTAAAATCACCTGAAAACCCTTAATCACTGATGATTGTCACGTA